GTATAGATATAAAATTTCCATGAGGTTTGAAATGGTATACATGTAAATATTCCATGAGGTACGTAATGGTCAAGGTACGAAATGGTCAGGGTACGAAATGGTTTTTGCCAGGGTACGAAATGAGGGGTACGAAATGGTTAGGGTACGAAATGACTATAATTCCTTATAACATAAGTTTATATCAGCAATGTCTTGGAGAAGTTACAAAATCAGTGCAGATCAATTTTTTTTTTAAAGAGTTATGTCCCTATGATCTAAAACACTTTAGAAAACAAAACTTGCAAATATTTCTAAGAGTAGAAATGGAAAAATCCTGTCTGCACTATTTTTATCTCAACATTTGAATTATGTCTGATCAATCACCTGAATGTCATCAACAATGGACTTTAACATTACTTGAATTCTAAATTTTGTTACCCTAAAAATCCTATAAAGATTGCAGGAGAAATATGAAGTATTCATAAACAAAACAACAACTCAACAACCTTTTTTTGCTGCCTGCGATGAAAGTGTCAGAAATGCGAGATATAGGGATTACAATTGGGCGTCGGTATAAACTATTTGTATTAGGTAGCAGTACACAGTTAGGAGTGTAGTTTCGCATTTTGGCTACGGTGGATTTTTCAAATATGAAAGTTATTGTGCAATAAAATTCATTTTTAGACAGCTGATGACATATACATATGCACATATATGACACAAACAGTAAGCTTAATGTGTAAGAGAGCAAGGAAAAGGGGATGGTAAAATATATGAGGGTAATTTTTTTTTCCTAACTGTATATTGCTACCTTAAGCTTTGAATTTCAGAAGGTAGAAGACCTGGAAGCTTCATAACTTTTATTCAGATTCCTTATGTTACAAAATTTCTGTCTGTCATATGTCTTCTGTCCTTGGCCTCATTTTCATGGTTCTGCGACTGCTACATGTATAATAAGATAACTATATTACATGTAGGTAAATGGGTCCCTTGCAAGGTCTACATGTCCTTCAGACTTGTTTAATCTGATCTCAACCTCATTTCTTGGACGCACGAGCCAGGTGCGTTCGACTCCAATCTTAATTGACTAGGGTTGTCAGTTTTCCTACCGAAGGTCGGTGGTTCTCTCCGGGCACTCCTGCTTCCTTAACCAATTAAAAATGACCGCCATGAAATAGCACAATAGTGTTGAAAGTGGCGTTAAACACCAATCAATCAATCAATCAATCAATCAATCATTTCATGGATCAGTGATCAAGGTTAAAGTTACCTGATTAGGGCTGTTTCTCAGATACTGTTAGCAGTAGGTCATTGGTCAATGTTAAGTTTTTGTGTTTTGGTCTGTTTTTCAATACTAAAAGCAATAGGTCAACTATATTTGATGTATGAAATGAAAGTAAGGTGTACAGGTCTGTCTGGCAGGTATCATTTGTCCTTGACCTCATTTTCATTGTTTATTGGTCAATATTAAGTTTTCATGTTTTGATCTGTTTCATGTATATTATATATATGCTATAGTTCAACAACGTTTGTTGTATGGAATTACTGTAAGGCGGACTTGGTTTATCTGACCTTGGCCTCATTTTCATGGATAATTGATCACACAAGTGATTGTGATACTTGAAGTAAAACTTGATCTTTAGGAATATCAACATAAAAGCAATCATGACTAGTAAAGCAGGTGAGACATTTCAGTTTGAGCATTCTTGTTGACGCAAAAAATGTGTTGAAAACTGTGACTACCATACATGTAGCTGTATCTAGGAATCTCTGGTAAAAACTTTAAAATAATGTGATCTATCCTGATATACTTCTTGTTTGTATTGAAACAAATCTTAATAGTTCACACCGTTTGCTTGTAAGCATTATAGTTTTAAGACAACTTATTTAGTGTTGTGAAATTGATTTCCTTATTTAGTGTAGGAAGTCATATTTCTATACCCATGTTAATGTCGATAAAAAAAATTGGCATCTCATTATCATCGTAGACCGATAATTTCGTTACTTTGCAGCAGGTGGGTCAAACCTGGGACTTGTATACTAACTATATATTTTATTACATGTATATTATATATATTATATCCCAGGACAAACCAGTGTTCACACATTCATTATGAAAATTGTCATTAAAATTTGTTTGCCGCAAAGACCTACTCCACTCATTTTTTAAACCAAGAACTTATGTTATTTGTTTCCCTTTTCAAAAAAAAAAAACACGTGTCAAAAAAGTAAAACAGAAGAAGTTGAAGTTTGCCTATACCACCGAGTAATTTAACGTGTGTACTGGGCGGAGCTTTGAAAAATACAATCCCATTTTTTCCGAACCAAGTAAGTAGTTCATATTTTGTTAATATATGAAGCCTTTAGCTACATGTAGTAGTCTTTGGACCTGCCCGGTAGATTGCTGGGGTCCTAAACTAAATCCCCGACTGGGTCAAACCAAAGATTTAACGCTTCTCCGCAAAGCATGCTACATTGAGGGATAACAGCATAGACCGAATATATATATATGGTCGGAATAATAGGTCCAGGTTACTATTTACCAATTTTCATCTATGGCCAAAGGTGGTAAACAGAAATTTATTGAAGTATTAGAAAAACAAAGGATATTGGGTATCCATCAATGACTCAAAATCAGTGCATGCACAGCAAAAAACACACAAAAAGCAAAGTAACAGCGCTTTTATTGCTATTCTTCATCTCAAAGTCACAATGAGGCATTCAACACGGAGCAAAAAAACTCACCTAACTGCAAGTTTTAAGACGGAAGTGTCGGTTTTATCTGTGTAAAACAAATCAATTTAGTAAAATGTGTTACTCGAGTACCGGTAGTCTATAACACATTTTTATTCAATTTTTTAACGTGTTTACGCTGCTTTTTTCTGTTTTTTCATGCGAACTCGGTCGGCACATCGATAGTTAAAACAGAAAATAGAAAATGAAAAAAAATAATAATAGCAAAATAAGTATAGAAAACATTACCCCGAGGTTATAGGACAAGAGTTCCGGAAATCGTCGAATTATGTTATGAAAGAGGTTGTTAGATATCCTCCTACGCTAACAAATACAATAAAAAAAAAAACTTCCAGGTTAGAATACAGTTGTTGTTTTAAAGCGTTTTTTTCGTGCCCATGATTTGATAAAGAACGTAAATTAAATGTGTAAAATTAAAATGGTGGATGTGACTGTTAAGTACATATTCTTTGCCTGAAAATTATTATATTCAAAACTGTTTTTGTTAAATCAAAAATATTTAACTATTACCAAACATTTTGTAGTGGGAAAATATTTTATATACTTCGGAATAAACTCTTACTTAAAGATGAAGATATTTCAAGTTAAAAAAGATTTATGACAGTGACAAAATATATCATACGCAAACCCGATAGCGTGCAGATGAACCTCTCGATGCCTTTTAAAGCATAACATTTGGATTTTACTCGTTGTTGAAGGCCGCACGGTGACATGCATGTCCTTTTTTTACGGTTAAACGTTGCGTCTTTGGCATTCGCACACCATTTCAATATTTCAATTCAATTTTTTTTATCATCGCAGCACAACGCCATACTTATATTTCTATAAATTTTTTTATGTGAAAAAGTAACAAACCACTCTGTTTTTCTGACCGTATTTATTTTTTTGTAAAAAGTTTTGCATCGCTTGTTGACATCGAGAAAGGGTGCTCTCAGACACGCCCGCGTTCCGATGTCGTCAAAATTATTTTTGAGAAGACCACTCTAGGGAAAACGGTACTATTTATTCTGCCATAGGCGACAATACTAACATTCTCTAAATTTACCAATTCTTATAATAAAAACCTGGACAAAACAGTTATGTGTGGTGTTAGTACTTTATTATTCTGTTTTAAAAATTGAAGCCAAATAGTATCATGACCAACTTCCAACGGAGCTTGATTATGTTATCCATGCCCATCGTCATTTTACACCAAATTTATGAAATTTTGGAAGTCTTTTCGAATAATTCTCTAGAAAAGTTTTCAATAGGTTTCAAATTTTATATTGTAAATACACACACTGCAGTTATTCATAGATACATAAACAAAATATATTGTATCCTTACATCACAGCGCTCCTAAGTTGACTTCCTTCACCTGCCTTGGGTACAAAAAAGGCCAACCTAATGCTGGGAAAATGTAATAGTACTATTTTCCCTCTAAGCGATCGTTATCAAGATGAAGAGCACGCGCTCGTCGTTAGAAACATGCGTTGAAAACTGCGCAGTGTTTAAGGGCCGAGCCACCTTAACTGAGATATGTAAACGCTATACGTCTTACGTCAATTGTAAACTCATAAGTCGACACTGGCACAGTCCCTTCACACAGGTTACAAAGGGAACTAGACACTACCTGAAAAGAAAAAAAACCTCATCAATTAACCATTACTCAACAGACATCAACTTAAGGAAACACCAACAGCGCAATCTCAATATTGTTTGAATCAAATTTAGCTCCTGGACTTTACTTTCTGATAATGTAAGAAGTCAAAGGGAAACAAAAATACTGGTTTATATACGAACGTTACTATCAAGGCTTCAAATATATAGATATATAATTGTCTGAAATACATATTTCTTCATTAGCATATTGCTGCAAAAATCTATTTTATTACATGTACATTCTGTTGTACAGTAGCCCTTGGATGGTGTAAACTTAAAAAAAAACCAAACGTGTATGGTGTAATGGTGTCTGGCATATGGTGCAATGGTAGAATGTGTATGGTGTAAGGGGAATGGTTTAATGGTGTAACGTGCGATCGGGAATGGTGTGAATGAATGGTGTACGACATTTAAAACTATGCAAAATATTGATAAGAACTGATGTCTAATTTTATACATGAATTTATAATATTGTGATAAAAATTCGTTTTTTATAAATAAATAATTTTGTAGTCGCACGCTTTCTTTGAAATTAAATTGCATTATGGTGTAATGTGTAACGTGTATGGTGTAATGGCGCAGGGTGTATGGTGTATGGTGAATGGTGTAATCGTGATTGGTGTTAGTGGGAAGTTTACACCATCCAAAGGGAAGGCATGTGCCACATCATGTCAACACACTGTTTTCTATGTACATTCTGGGGACAAGATAGTTGATATGTGGAGACCAACAAAGTGATGGTGATTTGAAGACTCATTTAAACTAGCTTATAAGCATCTAATTCGAACGAACTTTTCATTTTCAATTTGATCGTAATATCCATAATTATAATGATATTAAACCAAGCATTTCATTGATGTTGAAGATAGCGCCTTTTATACATACACGAGACTTAAATATTATTTGTATTTTTCTAATATTAAGACTGTCCTGTTTGTTTGCATATTTGCAATCCGACACACCCAATGTTGTAGTGTTTTTCTATGTGTAGGACATCTTCCATAGCAGGTTGGTACTGTGAATAGTGCCTTGATTATGTATTTCTAATTTGCGAAACTGAAACAATGTTTGTGTGTGTGTCTTTTGAGAATCTATTTTTGACATTTTTACGATTCAGTCGTAAGAATGACAATAATGACAATGATACATACAAAGATTAACAGGAATCAACAAAAAACTGCACAGTACAAGAGATGCTAAAGATACCAAAGGGACATTCGAACTCTTACTTCGAAAATAAACAGACAACGCCATGGCTAAAAAAGAATAAGACCAATAGACAAACAACAGTACACAAAACACAACATAGAAAACTAATGACTGAGCAACACGAACCCCACCAAAAACTGGGGGTTTCAACCAACAACTCACTATTTTTCCGACAAAATAAAGTTTAATCAAAGACAAAACAACAAAGAACAACATATGGTCTGATTTATAACTTCCAATTTACAGCATATAATATAGACAAATATAATGGCGATATATAATATATAAATCTATTAATATTATCTAATCAATACATCTTTCTTAGGAAGCTTTTTTTCTTCTTAATATATGTTTATAAGATAGAGAGTAAGACTGTCTGAACACCAGAGAGAGAGAGAGAGAGAGAGAAAAGTGTAGTGAGTTTACACTACAAATTCATCTGGGCATTGTAAAGTAAATCCTGCATTTTCATTTATAGCAGTAGAAATATATACTTTAACTAAGCAATTTATAAAAAATACTCCATTCTCTGTGAAACTGATGTTCACTTTTGTTTTTCATAGCAATATTTTCATCAATTGCATACAAATAGTTCATCTTCTCTTTTACTGAGTATATTGATAGTTTTTTTTTAAAACATCTGGTATTATAAATATATTGTTTTCTGATAAGAAAAAGAGTATTTTCTGCATTGCCTTTTGATATTTTTGCAATGTTACCAAACAAAAAAAACTTCTTTTGTAAAAAGTACACTAATTCCATTGGTCAGAAACCAATTTTCAATCTGTTCTAATAATATCTGTGTATGTTCACAATCAAAATAAATGTTCTAATGTTTTTATTTCTCTTTTACAAAATGTACAATTTGGATTATCATAAATCTTTATTTAATGAAAAAAATTTGTTTGTAGCTAAGATTCGATGATTGAATCTATATTGCAGCCACTGTAGTTTGGTATTTTTTGTTACATCAAATGACAGTTTATAAATTATTTTCCAATGATTTATTATCAAAGCCAAAATTTTCAGTCCATCTTAACGGACTAGTGGGAACACTTCTTTTTTTTTTAAACAATATACATATCTTTAGATCTTTTTGAACTTTTAGCAAGTCTTTTAAAAGCGGATGGAATTAAAGGTAGTTCTAATTTGCGATTTTTTCTCACAAATGATTTTAATGCTTGATGTACAGCAGATATAATACTATTATATCTCATGAAATTCACATTTATCTGATATATTTCTTCTAATTATTGAAGAGAGAGAAAAGTCCCATCTTCATTTACAATATCATTTACAAATCTTATACCATTTTCAAACCAATCTTTATAAAAAAAAATAGGTTTATTTTCTATCTTTTTGTTATTGTTAAGCCAAATTGGACTAGAAAGAAAGCATTCTCAACTGTCATATTCATCTTTTTCTCTGAGAAGTTGTCGTGCTTTCAGAACATCTTTCCAAAATTTATTTTTGATATTTTGTTGTAATCTTTGTAAATATACACTTCCACAACCATAAAATTTTTCAATTTCTACATGTACATTTGACAAAAAGACATTCTGGCATTTGTTGTCTGTTTTAGATAATCTCCTTATCCATGTATACTTCGGTGCTAAAATAAATGCACTAAGATTTATCATTTTGAGTCCACCATCGTCAATATCGTTTTGTAAAACTTCTCTCTTTATTTTATTGATTGGTGAACTCCATATAAAATTGTACATAAGTTCAATAACTTTTTTTTTAAATATCATCACTTGGATTTGGTAAGGATATAAACAAATGATTCAAAATAGGCAATATCAATGTCTTCACCATAGTAATTCTACCAATAACAGTAAGATTTCGTTTTGTTTAATTTTTTCATCATAATTAATTTTTACAATTCTATCAAGATTAACATCAAAGCTTATACCTAATAACTTAAAATATGTTTCTCCCCATGAAAGGTTTCTATTTTGGCATAACTCCTCATTACTATACTTTTTATTTCCTATCTAAATAACCTGTGTTTCAGAAAAAATAATATGTAAACCAGATATATTTCCAAACCAATCTAATTCATTTAATGCTTCATTCAAAGATTCTTCTTTACCATCTAAAATAAGAGATGTGTCATCAGCAAACTGTGAAAGTTTGTGCTCAACTTGAGTAACTGTACATGTAATGCCCTTTATTTTATCCTTATTTCGTATTTTTAGTGTTAATATCTCATCACAGAGAATAAAAATATTAGGAGACAAGGGATCACCTTGTCAACAGCCTCGTTCTATAGAAAAAAAATTCTGTTAAATGTCCTCCCTTATTAACAGCTGATTTAATATTGTTTTAAAAAAAACTTTAATCCAATTGATTATTGATTCTCCAAAATTAAACCACTTCAGTTCACTGGTGAGAAATTCCCAAGAAATTGAATTAAATGCCTTTTCAAAATCTATGAGCAATAAAAAGCCTGAAATATCTTCTTCCTCAGTAAATTACATATTATCATAAATTAAACGAAGATTTTCTTCAATGTATCTCCCACTAATAAACCCAGTTTGATCGAAATCTATCAGTTTATCTAAAACTGTTTTAAAGCGTTTTGCTATTACTCCAGAGCCAATTTTATATACTGTATTTAATAATGAAATAGGTCGCCAATTTTTTAAGAAATGTCTAGGCTTATTTTCCTTTTGGCAGGCATGTAATGATTCCCTGTTTTTGCTTAACAGATAGTTCACCAATCTCAGTACTGTAGTTTAAGGAGTTTACAACAAAAAATTTCAAATCTTTCCAAAAAAATTTAAAAAAACTCTGTGGAAGAACCATCAGATCCTGGCGTTTTATTATTTTTCATATTTTTTAATTTTAAACCAGCTTCTTTAATAGTTATTTTACCTTCAAGATAATTTTTCTCATCATCAGTTAATTTTCTAAACTTAATATCTTTCAATCCTTCTTCAAATTTACTTAATTTATCTCCCTTTGACTGATTTTTATTCTTATATAAAGTTTCATAAAAAAAAATTCACTTCTTTCAAAATATCTTTTTGTTTTGAAATTACATCTCCATTTTCTTTTTCTACATTTGGTATTATCGTACTTGTGATTTTTTTGGATTCTAGCCCACAAAAATAGCTAGTAGGTTTTTCTCCCTCTTCAACACATTGTATTCTTGATCGAATTATTTTCCCTTTAATTTTTTCTTTTCTAATATTTTTTTTTAATTCATATTTTTTGTTTTCCAAAATCTGTATTGAGCCTTCATCTACTCTTTCTTCCAAAACAATATTTCGTTTCTAAGATCTTTCTCTTGATTTTCTTTTTCTATTTTATTATAACTTGAATAAGAAATAGTTTTGCCTCTAATTTCCATCAACAATGTCTAAAGAAATAAGTGACTGTTGATATTAAAATGGAGATCTTCATTATTTATGTCTTCTATTCTATCTAGATTATAAGCAAGTGTTACATATTGTTTTTTAACTTCTACTATTTTTTCTTTAACAATCTTTATATATTCTGGTTCATACAATAATGATTTTTTTAATTTCCACAATCCTCTACCTCGCTCAAATGGATTAAATTCTAGATTTAATGTAACAATAGAATGATCACAACGATAGCTAGGCTCAATATTACAATTATTCAAACAGCATGATAAATTTTCAGACAAAAGAAAGAATCTAATCTTGCTTGTTTTAAAGGGGTTCTTATTCTCCATGTGAAACGTTTCAAGTCTGGGTAAAGTTCTCGGAAAGAGTCAATGAGACACCTTTCCTCAATAATTTCTAAAACTTTTTCCCGAGCATTTGGATTATTAACATGTAAATAGTTAAAATAATCTATATCTGGACCAAAATGAAATGTAATGGAATGATTTTGCAGAAATGTTATAATTAACAAATAGAATAAAAGATTGGAAAGAAAAAGAAAAAGAAAGATATAAAAACAAAAATTTAGCATCAAAATGGCAAATACTAGTATTTTTGATTAAATTAGTAACAAAAATTGTTTTTTGCAGTATGAAATTTTTTTTTTTCTTTTAATTTTATATATCCTGTATATGATTTATCAATTATGATATAGTAAACTATTTTACAAAGTGGAGACAACTTTTATAGTCTTGAAAAAAGGAAAAACAGGTCACTTTTAAGCGTGACTATTAAAAGACATTAAAAATCATTTAGATATAATGTATATCATGTATATGTAACAATGAAGGTCAAGCAATAATAAATTATAACCACTTAGTTCCTTTCTCTCAATCTAAGAAAATAATCATCAAATATATTGAACTTCAACTGTAGATAGACCATCAGATGTCCTCCTATATACACCACAGTTGAAGTACCATACATCGTTGAACCATTCAGTATCATTTAGCCTTTTCATCAGTTCAATGTTTCTTTTGGAAATGTCATCATAAAATCTTATATTATCCTGTAAATTCTTCTTTTCACGCATCACTCTTCGTTTAACGTTGCTACTAAATAATCTCACAATGGGAGGCTTTGGTCCTAATTTGTCAGATGGAATTCTATGGA